ATAGAATTTGACAAGTGATTTGTGCTAGAGGGAATGGAAGTTAGTAAATGGTCAAATGAGGGATACGACAGTAAAAGCGATAACGAGAAAGATGAATATTTATCAGGTATTATCAAGAATAAAACTACAGAACTTTCGATCGAAAGCAATTGAATGGTCTCATAAGGAATTTGTGATTACCCGAAGATGGAGCTGAGTATTTAGTCGCTGTATTGAAAAAAAACGTTATCCAAAGGAACTAAAGATTATGTTTAATGTAACACGAAAAAAAAGTTTCGTAAGTTCATTACCGAAGATATAAAAAACTCGATTACATTCTGTACCAATGTAAAAGAATCAATTAATGAAATAAAATCTAATATTTATAAGGATAATTATTTACATTCTTATGAACTTTTTCCTGAATTCGGTCTTCAAATGTCATTGAACCTAACGTGCTAGGATCAAACTAATGGCGGATTCGGATTCAGCGTATCAAAATACACGAGAATATATTTATGTCGTTTTTGATACAAGCCACTTATTTTTTTGATCTGCCTCTGTTATTAATTAAAGTTTCCTGATCAACATATCTATAGCTTTGTTTTATTGTAATGTCACATTCTTTATAAGGAGATATATTAAATTAATACCAACAACCTATATAGATATACGAATTGATTTGTAACATACATTAGATTATTCTAATACGAAATAATCGCAAGTGTGACAGGTTGCTGTATATAGACGCTTCAGAGAAACTACATGATTGTTACTTATTTCGTAAATAAATTTTACAAAATTACATAGATTGGATTTGAATATTTTTTGGATTAAAAACAGAAATATCAAGTTAGAATTTTGGTAATATAAATATCAAATAGTTTATACAGAAAATTTTAAAATAAACGTAGGAATTTTGAAGAAGCTTAAAATTATTTACATATTGTTCAGAGTGTTGTACACGGCCACATTGTGCCTTCTCGTTATTACAATTCTTAATATTAGAGATTATGGTTAAAAATTGTTTTGAATGTTGTACTATTCTACATTATATCAACATTTTAATATAATAATATACTATTCTTATTGTTGTTATTGCATATTTCAATTTATAGAGAAGTTCAATTGAACCTGTTTACATATCCAGCTGCATTTCTTTCAAATATTCTCTATAAAATTAATGAAAACAAGTTGTAAATATAACTGGATTTATGACTTGCTTTCTTAGGTGATGAATTACAGTTGGACTGTTATTGACCGAAAAGTGACACAATACCCATGAATAATGAGATCTAACTACTACGCTTATATCTTTAGAACACTTAAAACTATGGAAACCTTTTGTTTATTTTGGCGGAATCCACTTTTTAAGAATTGAAACCACTTCTATTAATCTCCAAATAGGTTAATCCACCTATCTCTAGGTTAAGCAAGTTTAATCAACTAAACTACTCAATTTTTACTCACTAGATTGGCACTATTCAATCAATTATATATAAGAAGACGTGACAGGTGAGGGGATTCACATAAATCCAACACTTCAATTGTGAGAGGCAAGAGAACTCACTTTCATTCAGTACCTTATCGTGAAAGGCGAGGGAACTCAGATAAATCCTGCACCCCGATCATGAGAGGGGAAGGGACTCACTTTAAATCAGCACCTCGATTATGAGAGGTAGCTCACGCTAATTAAGTTCCCCAAAGTAAGCAACGTCTTCATCGTTAAAAACGCTAAACATAGATTAAAAGAAGAATTAGATGGTTTAGTCTGCTTAAGGATTGATAGAGATGATTTCTAAGGGTTGTAAGGATTATGAGGATAAGATTGATGGGTGACAACTCGCGCGAGGCGAGTTTGTCCCGTACGAAGGCCTTTCAACAGCCGAGCGACCTTTGACTTGGGCGGCAGTCAGGCTCTCGGGCACCCCGTCCCGTTCGCGCGTCAATAACGAAGCTAAGCTTTTGCGAAGGTCAAGGTTGATTTAGGACTAACTTTCGACGAGGATTTCGATGGTGACCTTGAATTTGACCTTCACCCTCAATGTCAAGGTCATTTGGAGGTCAACTTTTTTTTAAATGGAAACCCCTACTTTTGACACCAATTTTATTATTACATTTAGCGTTATTATTTTAAATATTATTTTAAAGTTTAAGATAATAGAATTTATGTTAGTGAGAACAGAAATTATACGGTAAATAATTTGAAGATTTAACAACTTAGAACTTTCGTAAAACAAGCACCCCAAAGGGAACAGATATTACACCGTCCACGCTATTGTTCCTGGGTGACGCTAAATGTAATAATAAAATTGTTGTTAAAAGTAGGGGTTTCCATTTAAAAAAAAAGTTGACCTCAAAATGACCTTGACATTGAGGTTGAAGGTCAAATCAAAGATCACCATCGAATTCCTCGTCGAAAGTTAGTCCTGAAGCAACCTTGAGCTTCGCAAAAGCTTTGCTACCTGGAAAGTTATTTCCTTGATTCGTTACTTTTTGGACACCCTGTATATAAAATAAGCAATAACGGAGAAGCATATGGATATACTCAAGTGCGTTTAATAGTACTTATAAAATTTATTTTATAAAGCTCAAGTACATGAATAAGTGATAGAGCGAAAATAGAAAGATATATATATATACATATATAGACGCGTTTTCTTCGCCTCGCGTTGTCTATTATCTATGAACAATATGGTACTCACTTATTTTTTTTAATAAAGTTATTGACAATCGATCCTTTATATATTATTTCCTATTTATTGGTCCTCTCTCCTTTCTATTTCTTTTTAAACGGATTGTAAGGTCCGTCAAATGTACGCGTATATTTGTATATGTCCAATTAATACTGTGGATTAATATATTTCCTTGGTCCCAGCGGCGTGAACAAGTTGCCTGTATGGTTGCTATCTTTCTTTGCCTTTTATTAACACTGAAGCTCTGATAAAGTAAACTGAACTCAACTTTCAATTAAGTAAAAGAGTAATACCGGATAACTCGGATAAATTAAGCCAAATTAAATTTAAATTTCAATTGGCGAGATAAACTCTGAATTCGGAAATATTGCGGCCTAGTTGCTCTAGCACTCAGTCCTGACTGACTAATCTAAGCTCCGTTGTTTTCACCGGTTTATTATATATTCTTTGTCCCTCGCATTCCGTCTCTCTCTCGCACATATGATTTAGACGTTTACACTTCTCGAATCGGCTCGTATTACTTAGCTAAGCACGCTGACTGCAGCATGCTGTCGCGGCAAGCTGCAGCAGCGTGAATCAGTCTCTGCCGCTCATTCCCACCGAGCCGCGCACACGAATACTACTAGCTATAGTGTTTTATTGCTATGTCCGAACGAAATTCTCGAGAGCGAAATCTTAATCGTAAAATATAATTATAACATAATAGAACGTCACGTAACAAAGGTATATCAGGGTTGAGATCTTAATTTTCTTATGAAAAAGCAGTTAATTAAACTTGCTCTACTTAGAGTTAGGTGGAATAGCCTGTTTTGGAGTTGGTAAGGGTGGTTTTTACCTAGAAAAAGTGGATTCCGCCAAAATAAAAAAAAACACGGCTTCAATATTTTTTAGTGTTCTAACAAATATGCCAAGTTTGCTTAAAATTGGTTAAAAAAGTGGTACTTGGGTAGGGTTACATGTAAGTTGTGACGAATCGATAAGATCGTTTGAATGATCTCGCTAGAACTGCGATCGATGGCTCGCTCGACACTGTCTCGCGAGCAACTTCAGGCCGAGGCTCGCTAGCGAGTTGCTCGGACCGCGGAGCGCGGAGGACTCCGTTTTCTGCCGTCGACACGACAACACCTGAGAGGGCTCCGTTCTGTTTGCCTAGTGGATGAAGACGGGCAGTCCTGAGATGGCGTTTGTCGTAATCGTGGAATCAGTGAAAATAATTGGACGGTGAGACCAGTGCAGCATGGGAAGAAGAATTTCTCAACCATCATCGTTTTTTGGAATGACGAATTCAGCCACCCAACTAGCCTGATATAGCGTGAGTCGCCTCAAATCTGCAGACCCTTGAAATCGAACTATTTAAATTTAAAATATCTAATGATAAACGAAAGGGCCGTTCGCGCGGAAAATAAGATGAATCTGAAATTAACAAAGTGATCAATTTTATTTGTAACATAAATAGCGTAACGAGTAATTGAATTATATAGTGTAAAACGTATTTGACTTAGTTTTATAAAAAACAAACTATAAAATAATCGGAGTGACCGATCTTCTTTTATAACGCATAACGTGTGATCGCATTATATAATGAAACTTTCGTATATTACTTAGTTTATAATATGTAATGGAGTGAGTCGTATGAATTTGGAATGAATGAGTTCGTGAGAATGATGTAATGTTGTAAATGAGAAATGTAACGAATATATGGAGAGATGAAGTGCGTGACGGATGTAATTTTATAGTGTATGAATGGCATAACGATTGGATTAAGTTGCTGAGATCACGAGATTAGAAATAGGGGATTATATGATAATCGTGTAGAAGAATGAAATTAACTTATGTTTCTGTGCTCTATCAGTGAATAAACACCGAATTGTTCATTATCGAGATTTTGACATTGGCTTTCTTGTTTTGTGCATTCCTAAGCTTTAAGTATGTGATCATTTGAATAAATACCACAATATTTAAATACAATATTTACAAAGGAACGTGATGTTTGCACTACGACTTTTTGGGCCGAACAAATTATGGAATTTATATGTAGGAAATTGTATGTACAATTTTGCTATTAGCTTAGATAAATACCTTCGTTTCTATTAATAAACGGAAGGACTGGATACTCGATTTTGGCTTTGAGATATTTCTTTGATGGCATATACGTAAAGGGTAAATGAAAGAGAAAAAATCACAAAAAAGCACCGTGGATTTTTGACTTCTAATTTATAACACTTTGACATTACTTAGCATTTCAAATGGAAATATTACAAAAGTTTTTGTTTGTTACATTACTGTGAAGTAATTTTCATTTTATATCTAATATTTATTTTTTAGGTGCTGGGGAGTCAGGCAAAAGTACTATTGTGAAACAAATGAAGTAAGTTAAATTGTAATAAATTAGCATAATATGTTTTTGTATAGTAAATATTTGTCATAAACTCTAATATATTTATCAATTTATTATTATTAATATTATTAATGTATTCTGAACTGCACATTTTTTGAATGTGTATATATAAGTATGGTTAGCAGTACGGTGGTGTGCCAACGCCAAGCTTATATTCCCATTCAGCTCTTCTTGCTGTCTCCCCCTTTCTCCGTGCTCTGCGTCACGATCAGTGTCTGGACACTTTTGAGAGGGAACACGCTTGCGAATGTTTCCTCTGCGATTAGTCTACTCACTCTTACAATTGTTCTTCGATCAATAAATTATCCTTTCACTTGGTTATAAATAAAGTGTTATTTATTTCTCTGCTATTAAGAACCACAAAAAATATTATAAATTTAATATTTTTGCCAATTGTGAATTGATTACCGTTTTTAAAAAATTTTTATATGCAATATTTTCCGAAAAAATTAAGTTTTCAACGGTAGTCGATTCTATGCATCGATCCGTTCGCGATTCTGTAACTCGCGCTTAGTACGAACAATTAAGAGAGAGAGAGGGGGCACGCGAGCATTTGAATAAGCAGTTACGCCTCAGCTGTTTATGCGACATTACCGTCAAATTTATTTTTCGCTGTGTTTCACCGAATCATCAAGTTTTTCTGGGACGATTTTACGTGCGAAAGTGCAACGGAGAGATCGTAGCAATAGGAAGCAGCGGCACAGATTAGCAGCAGCAAATTGCAGCCGATAGGAGAGTGAGGTAGCGCAGCAGATTGAGTGGAGGAGCAGCGGCAGTTGATTTACTACATCAACAATTACGGATGATCACCGTAATTGCACCGTGGGGTAGGTGCACCTCCCGTTATTATTGCGTGACAAAATACATTCGGTTTTTTGTCAACCGTGATAGCGATTTCTTTGTATTCGCATGGAGCGTTAGTTCACAGTAAATTTCGAATCTTCTCTCTCTATCTCTCTCTCTCTCTCTCTCTCTCCCCGCGTAAAAATGAAAATGTTGCTGCCAAATTTGGCCCAAGTTTATGTTGCCGAGACATGACAAAACTTTGCTAATAAGACTTTCCCAAACTTCGAGTGCACAGCACTTCGAGAAATCAAAGTTTGGGGAAACTATACTCAAACTTTGGAAAAGTTTGGGCAAAATTTTAATCAACTTCCGCTAAAGTTTCCAACCAGAAAACCCACTGTTCATCATTCGATCACGGTTGTGGTAAGTTTGGATAAGTTTACGAAAGTTTCTAGTTTACTTCCAGGAACTTTTGTCAAACTTTCTTTGCCAAAATTGGTTTTTATTTTAAGTATGGCAAATGTTGCCCCCAATTTCGCAGGTAAGTTTGAGAAAAACATTTTATTTGCACAAGTTTCTAAACATTTTGTAGAAGTTTTGCGTATGTTTGGAAATTTATTTTACAACAATGCATCAAGGTAAAACAACTTTTATCAACTTTTCGCAAAGTTCATAAGAATATTTTTGTTCATCAAGCGTGTATCAAAAAAATATAAAAACTTTTGAAATACTTCATTAATATTTCGCGTATACCTGGAAAATACCTCGGAAATACAATAAAGTTTCAACAAGTTTGCAAACGTTTGAGAAATGCTTCAAGCATATTTAGAAACCAATTTGTGATATTGGTCTGAAAGATGACTTAGAACTTTAGCAAAGTTTCGAAATATTATGACAAATTTTCCAGAAGTTGAAAAATATTTTAAAATAAAAATAGGCAAAATCAGGTGAAAAATTCCATTTTTATTTTTTATTAAATTATTGATAATATTATTAATTACCTTTTACATCTTGTTGACATTCTTGCTCTACAAATCAAAAGACAATTAAAAATTAAAGTTTTTTGTTGTATATAAATGGCGAAGAATTGATTTGTACAGTTTAGATTATTTTCTCAACTGATTCGCTTTATCGCTAAACTCAACTCTCAGTCGGAAATCGTTATAATTAATTATGTAAATTGTGGACAACAGTACAATAATATTTAACATGAATTATTTCTTATTCAATTGACAACTTCTTCATTAAAATTGTTTGGTACAGTAATATAAAATACATCGTCTACTTTGAAAAAGTAACAAATGTGCAGTATCGCTGTTACACCAAGCGCCAACAATTGATTTTCTAATTTTACGCATGTATAAATAGTAGGAATGTAATTATTGACTATGTTACATATAAAAGCTGGTTGAATATCACATTGATTTATAATAACATACGTTTTAGTCATCGTTGCACTCATCGCATTGCCTTTCACACTCACACGCACACAATGTTACAAAACAATGTAGAATCCCGAAATAATCATGATTGTTATATCTGTAGTTGACTAATGTTGAGTTGGTTTTCTTATTTTTTACGTAGAGTTCTGTTTCATAATATAAGCCGTCTTTTAGTAATCTATGGAAAATATGGCACTTTGACAAATCGATTTCATCCAAAAGATGAAATAAAGCATTAAAAATTAATTCGGGCATGTTATCCGTTTTCTTAATGGATCCAACGGCATAAATTCTGTTAATAATGTGTTTTGTTTTGTACGTCAATGTCCCGCACTTTTCCACTCTTCTGCAAAACCGCCAAGCTACACTATTAGGCCTTACAAACTTATCTTTAATTTCAGCTAGACTTGTAAATGTCGACACTGCGGAACATATTTGTAATCCAGGATGGCGAGATCCGTGCACGTAGCTCTTCAAAATTCCATTTAAATTTTCAAATGGATAACAGCTCATGACATATATAGGTCCGAATTTCATTACTTCGTTGGCCATGTGTCGAAAAATATGCAAATTGCAGGTCATATACCTCAGCCCATAGAAATATTCGAATCGGGCTCCGTACTCTTCCATTGCTCTGAATGCCTCATCAACCATATCTTCTGAAATACTTGAGCTGTTATAATTAGTGATGCCGTGCACTAACAATGTGTGATGCTCGAAGTAATCAGGTGCCATAATATCTTTGAGTACAGACAAACTGTAAACTAGTAGAAAAATTTCTACTTCTGTTACCTTGAAATGTGCATGTTCTGATATTTTTCTCGGCAGTCTTGGAACAAACGATGGGAGTATTAGAGCTTTTATTCTAGCATCAATTAAATCCACGTATGCATATAAAGAAAATCCATGGACTCGATATTCGGCATCAAACCAATATGATAGCAACTTTTTTACATGCCCGGAAACGCAGTGCATCTTATCATTCGCCGTCGAATCCACATAGTTATAAGCTATGCGACTGAGTGTTGTGGGACCCTTGACGCCGAACGTTTCCTCGTCGTTTTCGTGAGCTTCTTCTGCGAGTCGCATTGAATCTTCAGTAGTTCGTAGCTCTAGCTGATCAAAATCAACAAACGGATAAACCATTGTATTTCCTTCCCGCATAGTTCTTATTTTACAACTTGGACATTCAAACCTTGCATTAAATTGTTTTACATTAAGAAATAATGCTTTGGCGCATAAATCACATGTGCCACAAATAAGCAGTGCTCGTATGCGCATCGGTTCTTGCGTATTAGGAATTTCGAAATCAACTCCACGGTATAATTTTGTGAGCTCTTCTTTAAACGAATTCATAAACATATTTGGAGATGGTTTTGCAGTACCGAACCACAATCCGGCTAGTAAAATATTTTCTTTTTTCACCCGATACTTGTACGGTAGATTGTTGATCGAAAAGAAAAATGGCCAAATGCAGAATTTCGATGAATTGAATAGGTTGACACCATCGATGTTCCAAGTAAATGTTATACTATTTCGTCCGTTCAAAAAATCGGCAGGCAACGAATTATAGATTGACCCATCGTATACGTCCTCGTAATTATTAGGATTTTCTTTTCGTCGTTCGAATCTATAGTTCAAGTTTTCTCTAAATTCATCTCTTTTTAAAAACGATGCTAATTATGGTATAATCGGGACTTGCAAAAAATAATGATCGCCATTGTTACATGTAGGACAGATATCTTCTCTCACTGGCGCTTTACATATAGTGGAGTAGTAATGACGAATTAAAGGGGAATTTATATTCGCAAAGAACTTCTTCAACTTATAAATAGATGTAACGCAATTGTTAGGTTCTATACAATAAATTGATATTAAATCTAATATATGTGATAGTAAAACGCTTGTAATTGTAAAATGCGTCGTAAGTTTTAAAATAGAAATTACGCTTTCGCCAACCGTAATAGGGGCACCGGTATACAAGGGAATATTCGCATCTTCCATTAGTTCGTCGATGCTTTCATCACTCGAGCTTTCGTTTGATGAATCATCACTCGACGATATAAGACCTTCGGTTCTTGATAAAGATTCACTACCACTCAAGTAGTTTGAGTTCGCACTATCAGTCGAGGCTCCAGAATAGCCTTGTTCTCCTCCGACAGCATCTAATAAAATTTCACATTACATTACGATGATTGCAAATCACCAAGCAGGTATGACAGTTCACGTCACTTGTTAAATATTATTTACAATACGAATCGGATCAGACAAAATAACCTATAGCCACCCAGGTTGCTGGTGTGAGGCAATTTTTTTCTCGTGAAAAAATTCTCTTGTGCTCCACCCGGGAATCGAACCCCGGCCTAGCGCGTGGAAGGCAAATGTTTTATTCACTGAGCCACCAGGGGGCTGTTTTACTGTTAGTATGTTTTGCCAAAAACAACGATTGATTGTAACCTTCTTATTGCACGAGGTCGAATTTATAAAAAAAATAAATATTGTAACGAGTGTTGTCATATTTTTGTAAGTAATAATCCAAGCGTAACAATGTCTTGAGTGAGAATGTCGTAAGAGTGTGGGTTATATTATGTGTATGTGACTGCATCTTTCTACGCGACTATAGTCACTATAGTTATAAAAAAGAACCTTATATATCCACGAGAACCATAATATTAAAATTAAAGTCCTACCTGTCATCAAATACTTTCCAAATTTCTTGCGGTTTCACTAATGTTTTCTATT